TCATGTGAGTGCATGCACCCTACAGCAAATTTAAAAAAAAAAGGGGGGGGAGGAGGAAAATTGAGCTTGCCTGCCTGCTTGGAAGCAGAATACTATTATAGATCAGATGATTTCTTAAAGGCCATTCTGTGAAAATGCAGAAATATATGAAAATATCAGGATTGGTGTGAACTGGGAAAAGGTGGTGAATATTTATCTAGCCCAGTCCATATTTATCTAGGCCATGGAAAAAGGTTTGGAGAAGAGAATGGTGTTTAAATGAGTGAGGAGGTTGATTTGGAGTTCTTTGCCATCTTGACCTAGCAAAGTCCAGTTTAGTCGTCCTTTAATAGAAGCCAGTGGAAGAGAATCTTCTGAGGTTATGAGAAGTGGGAGGCCAGGATAAGCTATAGCACCTTCCTCCAGGGTCCTCTGCAGACATATACTTAACTGCCTGGTCATACAGAGCACATGCATAAGTACCTTCTCTGTCCTTTCCAGCTACTGCTGTGCTCTGATCTGACCTGTAATAACCCCTAACACTCAGACTCAGACTCGTATTCCCTACTTTGCCCAGACAGGCGCTGTGGAACCCAGTTAGTCGCCAACACTCCCACTACTCCCACCTCTCTTTCCTAGGAACTAGCTGGTACTCTAGGGCAAGCTGGAAGGAGAGTTTAGGTTCCTTGTTTGAAGTGTTGCACCCCAGTTGTCTGAACATCCTTGAGGGCTGTAGTAATTTGATATTAAAGATTTTCTCTTTTTTTTTTTTAAGTTTTGCTATAGAGTGCATATGCTTGCTGGAGAGACAGAGAAAAGGAAAGTGAGAAATCACGCCCCAGAAGAGATGGTCACCTTGAAATCCATTCTCCTCTGGGAATGTTAGGCATGCACACACATGCATGCAGTATGTTTTACAAACTAGGGTCTGGAACACAAACCACACAGTAAGCCATATGAGATCCAGTGCCTTAACCACCATGGCACTGGCTGGCCCAGGTTTGAATGTTCTTCTCTTTTTTCTTAGTCCTCTAACTTACAAGGGAAAAGGTGGTGAATACAGAACTTGTTCCTTCTCATTTTCTTTTACTTTCTAGTCTTTTCATTTTCTTTAGAAGTTACCCATTGAAGACATATTTTCTTTGCATTCAAAATAAATGAATGCATATTGAGGACTGTATCTGGATTTAGGTTTTGGAGAATCCTTTTTCTACCTTTTACTGTCTAAACAATCTAGCCCTGTTTTCTTCAACACTTCCCTATGACTTGCTTCAGATGTAGACAGTTTCTGTGTCCCTGGGAAGCCACGAGGGAGGCCCAGCTCCAGTTTAGTGGTTTCTAGTAGCAGAACTACTTGTATAGGAAAGGAGTGTGATTATTCTGCACCTCTTGATGTTATCTGGTTCCCTGGGAAGTAAAGGTGGCCAGATATGGGAGTCTGTCTAATGGGGACATTCCCCAAATACTGTGATGTGGGATTCCTAGCTGAGCTCTGGAAGTTTTTCTTTGCCTGTGGGATGAAAGAGATGGTGGTATCCTTATCTTTCTTTCTGGTGCCAGTAATAATCCCAATTGTGGTTAACTGGGGCAGGCATGTGTTGAATTTACAAGCAAGGGCTGAGATGTCACATATGGGAGAATGTCTAAGCTGCTTTCCCCTTAAAAGTTTTGAAAAGTGGACTTTTAGGAGTTTTTGTTGACTTGGAAATCTCGAGTATAGGAAAAGGTAAAGATGTGCCAAGTTAGATTGAGAAAGAGAGTTTGGTTGTATAGATATAGGACCACTGAGGCGGTCATGTGAGTCTCTTAAGTAAACTTAAAAGGTAGTGATTCCATCTGATTATAGTGACCCTCAGAGTGTCCTACAAAGGTGTGGCAAGGATTACAACTTCCTTCTTATTCCTGTGCAACCCATAGTGACAAGTAGAGACAGATCCACATAGGCAGCCATGCTGGTTCTACTGCTCAGAGGGCACTGCCTAATTTTTTGAAAGCATAGTGAAAGAGTTGCCACTGTGTTACTAGGGAAAGAGCATAGTGAAAGAGTTGCCACTGTGTTACTAATATCAACCTCAAACTGCATCAGGTAAATTAAATTCAGGAATGTGCTTCTTGTTTGACAGGATTGGGAGGAAGATAAACTGAACTGTCCTTTTTTGGTGATCTCTGAGAACAAGAGTTCCCCGTCTGTCTTTTTGTAAAACTTTAGTGGCAACATCTGGGAAGCAGGAAGCTGGGCTATATGATATTGGACAGATCAAAGGGACTTTTAACATCTCAGAGATGTGGAAGAGCTAGCAGGGTGGCAGTGGAAAACAGGGCCTCCCAGAGTATCTAAAGTAATTCACGTGTTGAGCCTTTTTCTTCTGCATACCCAAAGTTTATGTACTCAGAATCATCAGTCAGAGGTGATATTGGAAATTACCTGAATTCCAGCTTTACAAAAGCCTCTGTGTTCCTCCAGCTCATTCTTGAGTATATCTTAGAGTCATACTTTTTTTTAACTGCCAGGGGCCACATGCTCTTGCCAGAGAGAAAAAGGGGAAAGGGACAAAGCACCCCTAAATGGAGTGTGGTAATGCTGAAACTCCTCCTTTTTCTATGCTGTCAGTGTTTGAGGCACACACATGCACCCAGCATGTTTCTCAGGTTCTTGGGGCCGGGATTCAAACTGCAGTTGGCCAAGTAGGATCCAGCTCCTTTAACCATTAGACCACGAAGCCAGACCTGTCTTAGATTCAGTTTGTATTTTTGTGAAGAAGCTCTGAGTCCATTGTTGGCTATAGTCAGATTCTGGAGCCAGGCCAATTTGAAGAAATGTCCTCTTGTTCTGCACTGATTCTCCTGATGTAGATTTGGTGAAGCTCTGAAAAATTGCTCTTGGAAGGCAGTGTCTCTTGTTAGCAGTGTTCTCTCACTGAATTTCTTCACAGGATTCTTTCCTGAGAAGGGTTCTTGGTTATGTTATTCCTGGTCCTCCTTGTTCTTTGGAAGTTCTAGACCCTAAAGTCCCAGACTGATTTCTCTTTGCCTTCTCACAGCCCCTGCTGTTCTGAGAGTGTGTGCATGATAGCAGGGAAAGTAGTGCCAGGGTTGGACAAGGTTGTCGTAAATGTTGGGAAGAGTCTTAAACAAATGTAACTCTTATTCACCTCCCTTAGAGTGTGTGTGCAAACACATGCACATACACACACACACACACACACACACACACACCCCTCTCACCTGTTAGGTACCTAAGATTCAAGTACCGTAAATACTGAGCACTGCCATGTGCCAGGAACTGTGCTTGGTCCTTTCACATGTGAAGTTGTTTATTCCACACAGCAACAATGAGCAGTAATTATTGCTTCCCACTTTTCAGTTGAGGAGAGTAAAACTCAGAAGATACATGACTTGCCTAAGTTTGCACATCTCATAAAGGCAGAGCAAGGATTTTTGTCTCCAAGCCCAGAGCTCTTTCCACAATACTTCAGCAGCCACGGCATTGGAGAAAGGGTATGATGTCATTCCCACAAGCAGAGAAATGGTACAACTTTAGCAGGGCTAGTGGGAGTTGTTTTAGAGCTCTTTTCTACAGAAGCCTGACAACATTTGCTAGTTTTTGTTCCCTGGAAGCTTTGAGGGTAAAAGTGAGGGTAAGAAAGTATCTGTAACTAGAAAAATACATCAATACTTCAATTTTAAATAAAGTGAGATGCATAGGGCCTGTGTGTGGCGTGTTATATGAGCGAGGAGAGATAGGTTAAAGAGAAAAATGAGGGACCAGCAGTTGGCGTAATGGTTATGTCACTGGACTCCCATGTAGTCGCCCGCGGTTCGAGTACCGGACCCAGTGGCTTAAACTCATGCTGGGCACGTGTGCATGTGTGCCCAAGATCCCGAGAGGAGAATGGAGGAAAAGGGGTTGCGGCGTGGCCATCGATTTCTCCTTTCTGTCTCTCTCTGTCTTTCTGGGGAGTGCATGCGCCCTATAGCAAAAACCTCTCAAAAAAGAAAAAGAAAAAGAAAAATGAAAAGGCTATAGCAGGCGTGAAAGGGAGACACAGGAAGAACAAGAAGGTAGAAAAGTATATGAAGAGTTAGGAACAAGGGAGTAAGACCCAAGGTGTTCCCCAGTCTGCCTGAAAAAATGTATAAACCTGTATAAACATAACACACATGAAGCAGCATTTTACAAATACAATTTAAGAACAGAGGCTAAACTGAGTGTGTGCAGAAGGAATGAAGAGTAAGCAGTAATCAAAAGTGGAGGTAGCGTGAGAGCATCCTGGGGGGAGATGACTTTTCATCTGATTTTGAAGAATCCTAGGAAGACAAACAGAGGAGGTGCCTGGGAAGGTTTCATGGCAAAGGAAAGACCTGAAAATGGCACCACTAACCAGTGTGTGTGTGTGTGTGTGTGTGTGTGTGTCTCCCTTTCTGTTCCTTTCTCCTTCCCTTGTCCTATAGCTTGGAAGCTCGAAGTCTGGTTGTGGCCATGGGAGACACGGTAGTGGAACCTGCCCCACTGAAACCAGCTTCTGAGCCCACTACTGGCCCACCGGGGAATAATGGGGGCTCCTTGCTAAGTGTCATCACGGAGGGGGTCGGGGAGCTGTCAGTGATTGACCCCGAGGTGGCCCAGAAGGCCTGCCAGGAAGTGCTGGAGAAAGTCAAGCTTTTGCATGGCGGTGTGGCGGTCTCTAGCAGAGGCACCCCACTGGAGTTGATCAATGGGGATGGTGTGGACAGTGAAATTCGTTGCCTGGATGATCCACCTGCCCAGATCAGGGAGGAAGAAGACGAGATGGGGACCACTGTGGCCTCAGGGACAACCAAAGGAACAAGAAGGAGGCGGCAAAACAACTCAGCCAAACAGTCCTGGCTGCTGAGGCTGTTTGAGTCAAAACTATTTGATATCTCCATGGCCATTTCATATCTGTACAACTCCAAGGAGCCTGGAGTGCAAGCCTATATTGGCAACCGGCTCTTCTGCTAAAAATGAAAAGGCTATAGCAGGCGTGAAAGGGAGACACAGGAAGAACAAGAAGGTAGAAAAGTATATGAAGAGTTAGGAACAAGGGAGTAAGACCCAAGGTGTTCCCCAGTCTGCCTGAAAAAATGTATAAACCTGTATAAACATAACACACATGAAGCAGCATTTTACAAATACAATTTAAGAACAGAGGCTAAACTGAGTGTGTGCAGAAGGAATGAAGAGTAAGCAGTAATCAAAAGTGGAGGTAGCGTGAGAGCATCCTGGGGGGAGATGACTTTTCATCTGATTTTGAAGAATCCTAGGAAGACAAACAGAGGAGGTGCCTGGGAAGGTTTCATGGCAAAGGAAAGACCTGAAAATGGCACCACTAACCAGTGTGTGTGTGTGTGTGTGTGTGTGTGTGTCTCCCTTTCTGTTCCTTTCTCCTTCCCTTGTCCTATAGCTTGGAAGCTCGAAGTCTGGTTGTGGCCATGGGAGACACGGTAGTGGAACCTGCCCCACTGAAACCAGCTTCTGAGCCCACTACTGGCCCACCGGGGAATAATGGGGGCTCCTTGCTAAGTGTCATCACGGAGGGGGTCGGGGAGCTGTCAGTGATTGACCCCGAGGTGGCCCAGAAGGCCTGCCAGGAAGTGCTGGAGAAAGTCAAGCTTTTGCATGGCGGTGTGGCGGTCTCTAGCAGAGGCACCCCACTGGAGTTGATCAATGGGGATGGTGTGGACAGTGAAATTCGTTGCCTGGATGATCCACCTGCCCAGATCAGGGAGGAAGAAGACGAGATGGGGACCACTGTGGCCTCAGGGACAACCAAAGGAACAAGAAGGAGGCGGCAAAACAACTCAGCCAAACAGTCCTGGCTGCTGAGGCTGTTTGAGTCAAAACTATTTGATATCTCCATGGCCATTTCATATCTGTACAACTCCAAGGAGCCTGGAGTGCAAGCCTATATTGGCAACCGGCTCTTCTGCTTTCGTAATGAGGATGTGGACTTCTATCTGCCCCAATTGCTTAACATGTACATTCACATGGATGAGGATGTGGGTGACGCCATTAAGCCCTACATCGTCCACCGATGCCGTCAGAGCATTAACTTTTCCCTCCAGTGTGCCCTGTTGCTTGGGGCCTACTCTTCAGACATGCACATTTCCACTCAGCGTCACTCCCGCGGGACCAAGCTCCGGAAGCTGATCCTCTCAGATGAGCTGAAGCCAGCTCACCGGAAGAGGGAGCTACCCTCTTTGAGCCCAGCCCCCGACACAGGGCTGTCTCCCTCCAAAAGGACTCATCAGCGCTCTAAGTCAGACGCTACCGCCAGCATAAGTCTCAGCAGCAACCTGAAACGAACAGCCAGCAATCCTAAAGTGGAGAACGAGGATGAGGTAAATTCTGGGGAGGGACAGAGAGGCTTGTGGCAGAGGGCTGCATGGAGACAGGATGTCTTATGTAGGGTTACTCTGTCTTTTCTGTCTTTCCTTCTGCTTCATTTCACTGATAAAACATGGAATGTTAGAATGGAAAAAGATCTTATAATTCATGTTTTCCAGCTGCCTCATTTTACAAAGGAAGAACTCAGAGACCCAGAGAGATAAAGTGACTTGCCTCAGATCATATAGCTAATGGCCAGGCTGACACACTTGTCTCCGTCTGGGGTTTTTACCAAACTACACTGCTAGTCTATGAACTTCTTGCTTACTGAGAACTGTGGGAGAGCGCCTTCCCACCCTGACTCAAGACCTAGGATAGCTACCAGAGCTTCTCAGAGCAGGAACCATGGAGGAAAGAAGGGGATGTCATCTCTCTGTGTGCTGGGGAAGGGAGACATTAGTGGAACATCAGCTTCATTCTCCTGGCCATTCCTCCTAATTTCTCTCCTTACCTCTGAAGAGCCTGCTTTTTGTTGACATAGGATAAAGTTCATTCTTATCACTGAGGCACTGCACAGTGTCCTCCTGTGGTCTTTCCTTGGTGGTGAAGAGTACCTTGTTGGTATCTTTCCCATATCATTCGGGAGAAATACAAAGGGAAGAGAAAAGCGATCTTGAGATTGCTTAGTCAAGCACCCAGAGGAAGAGGAAGCTACAGCAGCAGTGGGGGTATCCAACTCAGGATACAGAGCATAGAGGCAGTGAGCATATCAGTAGATTATACCCACTTTCCGCTCCACCTCTGGCTAGATAGCAGGGAGGGTTGCCCAGTGGACAACCAAGTGTCGGTGACCTGGTGTCCCAACCAGACAATGGTGCACCAGTCCTCCCTTTTGACTCACCATTGGCCTGGCTCCCATCCTGGCAGCCAGCCCAGTCTAGAGAAGAGGGGGGAGAAAGAACGAGGAATTTGCACTTGTTGGAAAATGCATATAGCCATGGTCCTGGCATCTGCCTCTCTGGGGCCCATACTCTACCCACGTTTTTGATACAATGAGACTTCTTTCAAGAGAGATTCAGGAAGGGTGGAGACTACAGAGCCTGCCATCTGGAAATTTGATGTTTTAGTATGATCATTTAAAAATGGTAAAGCTGAGAGGACTGACATTTATTGAGCACGTATGTGCTGGTCATCATACAAAGTATTTCACAACTACCCTAAGAGATGGGTATTATTCTATCTATGAGGAAACCGTGGCTTAAGTTAGTTGATTTGCCCAAGGTCTCAACTAGGGAATATCAAACCGGGATTAAATCCACAGTGGTGCTCTTCATTGATAAACTGAGCTGCCTTGATTCTTTCTAGCATTTACTTCCCTCGGTCCCCAGTTCTCAGAGGCCATTTGAGGAAGAATAGCCTAGACTGTGGCCATCTAAGTTTCCACATTCATGCACAGGAAAGTCCAAGCTCTTTTCAGAACCAGAATGATCTGTTTTGTTTTAGAGAGATTTTCACTATAGGGCATTCATGCTCACTGGAGAGACAGAGATAGACAGAAAGCGAGAAATCACCGCCTCGGGGGAGTGGCCACACTGCATTCCCTTCTACTCCATTCTCTTCTTGGGATTTTGGACATGCACGCACACGTGCCTAGTGTGAGTTTTAAGCCACCTGGTCCAGGACTTGAACCGTGGTCAACTATGTGGGAGTTCAGCAACATAACCATTACACCATCTGCTGGTCTATTTTCTTTTCTTTTTTTTTTGGAGAGGTTTTTGCTATAGGGCACATGCGCTCACCAGAAAGACAGAGACAGAGAGACAGAAAACGAGAAATCACCGCCCAGAGGGGATGGCCATGCCACAATCCCTTCTCCTCCATTCTCCTCTCGGGATCTTGGGAATGCACGCACACGCACCCAGCATGAGTTTAAGCCACCAGGTCCAGGACTTGAACCATGGTCGACTACATGGGAGTCCAGTGACATAGCCATTACGCTAACTGCTGGTCCCTATTTTGTTTTTTTAATTGCTAGATATGGTGCATGTGCTTGCCAGAGACAGAAGGAGAGAGAAAGTACCCCCAGTGGGATATAGCCATGCCACAATCCCATTTCCTTCCATTTCTTTCCTATTAGAATTTTGGATATACACAAGTGCCTGGCATGTTTTTCAAGCTGCTGGGGCTGAGATTAAAACCATGGTCAACCATGTGGAATCCAGCTTCCAGTGTACAACTCTTAACTATTATACTTTGGGGCCAGTCCCAGAATGAACTGTTTTCATTTCCAGTGAAGCTTGGTAGCAGAATCCAGGGTCATGAGAGGATGTGATTGCTGAGCAAGAAAAGTCACCCAGATTCAGGTGAAACTGAGTCAGAAAGGGTTTTGTTTGTTTGTTTGTTTGTTTGTTTTTAATTAATTTTTTTTAGAGAGGTTTTTGCTATAGGGCACGTGCGCTTGCCAGAAAGGCAGAGACCAAGATAGAAAGTGAGAAATCACCTCCGAGAGGTGATGGCCGCACCACAATCCCTTCTCCTTCATTCTCCTCTTGGGATCTTGGGCACACAAGCACATGCACCAGGTGCGAGTTTAAGCCACCAGGCCCGGGACTCGAACCATGGCCGGCTACATGGGTTTACAGTGACATAGCCATTACACCAACTGCTGGTCCTGTTTTTTTTTTTCTTAGGTTTTTGCTAGACAGAGACAGAGACAGAAAGCGAGAAATCACCCCCTAGGGTAGATGGCCATGCTGCAGTCCCTTCTCTAGTCTCCACTTGGGATTTTGGGCATGCACGTACACTTGCCCAGCGTGAGTTTTAAGCCACCAGGTCTGGGACTTGAACTGTGGTCAACTACATGGGAGTGCAGTGACATAACCATTATGCCATCTCTTGGTCCCATGGTTTAAGAGGTGCTTTATCTTGGAGTCAAGCCTGTAGCAGTATGAATATGAGCACCCAAATGTGATTCTTGGATGCCTCTCATCAATCAGGCTTGGCATGTCTCTCTATCTACTTTGTAGTTCTCATGTTAGGACCAGAAAAGCTGAGGCCATGGGGCTTTTCATTATGTTGGTCCTTGGTCTCTTTTCCTTGTGCCTGACTTCTGTTCCAGGATGAGATTTTGGATAGCACTGAAAAGCAGGCATTCTGTGAGGGATTAAGTCCCCTAGTGTGGGTTCTTTGGCTGCCATTCTTCCCAGCCTGACTCCTTATCTTGGGTTAGTAGATGCAAGAAAAGAAAGAGACACCAGGCCCAGCCTGTTCTAGGCTATCTGATGCGGCAGAATAAGACACCTGAATCCACTGTGGTGCCTCAGAAAATACATGTGAAAGGGAAAAGGAGAAGTATGATTATTGCTAGGTTTCTAAGCCTTGGAGTCTTCAACACAGGGATCTCTCCCAACGTCTTTGGCAGTTTGAGAATACATCTATTAAGGCCTTTGTCCCCCAAATACCAAGGGAATTGTTTTTCCTCCTTCTGCTCCTCCTCCTTGTCTGTCATGCAACATTACACTTCTTCCATGAGCAGAGGAGCTCCAGAGGGTGTGCTAGGGCCTCAGGGAAGAAGTCCAGGGTCTATATCCATACACTTCTCTTCTACCCTGGGATCTCCATGCAGAGCTCTCCTCTCTCCAGAGGTCACAAAGGGTTCCATTTCTTTTCATGAGCAATCCTTTATACTCTATTCCATAGTTAGAATACTGTAACACTGATTTCTCACATCTTCTGCCATTCCTCACCCAAAGCTTGCCCCATCGAAGCAGTTTAAAATAATTATTTAATTTTATTTATTCATTCATTTATTTTTATTTTGACAGAGGGGGAGGATAGTGAGAAAGCAAGCCGCAAGGTCTGGGACTCGAATTGTGGTCGGCCACTTGTGTCCAGTGCTTTAGCTGCCACACCACCTGCTGGTCCCTCAAAGCAGTTTTTAATCAACCTGGTCAGGGAACTCTACTCAGGCATTTTTTTGTACTCAGTCATTACCAAATGATAAATATTTTGAGGTAGATCAGGGGCACAGGGAGATTTAGGTACCATCCCCACACCATGCTGCCCCACATAATAACATCCTTAGTAGATCATCTTTGTCTTTTCGGGAAAGCAACCTTTATACAGAGAAATCTGCTGTGTGTCACATTAGAAGCCCCAGTAAGGCCTTCCAGCCTGATCTGGTGAGATGTCAGCTTTTTGGCCTCTGCTTACTCCCAGAGCTGACTTGGTATGAGTGACTCAAGCCCTGGGAGTAGGAGGAGGAGCAGGTCTTGTTATACCTCCCTTCCCCCAGGGCAGGTCATGAGTCAGGCAGGACCTGTCTGTGAGAGAATCAGCTCATGGAGCCAAGGTCTTACCCACTATTCCTTACCAACTCCATTCATAGAAATTGAACCACTAAGTCGTCATAGATGCTTGCATCCTCACTGCCTTAGTTTCCTCTCTCACTTCTACCCAAACTGGAAGAATTGTTGCTTTAGGGGAGTGTTTTCAAGTGTGGCTTCTCAAGTGCTCCTTTCCCAGATCCTTCAAAGAAGGACCTGACTCTGGGATCTCCAGCTAGAATAGAACTTAAACCTTGGAACTGAATTAAGTAGATGCTTGAAATGCTGATTCCGGCATAGAAGCTCAGTGACTACTGCCCTCCTGTTCTGGGAACTTTCAGGACTTGTTAAATCCAGACCCCTCCCCTCCTGCAGATTTGTACGTTCTGCTGCCCTGGCTCCCTGCAGAACCAGGATGGGCCCGAGTGCTGCCACGGCTGCCAAACAAGAGTTTGACTACCAGCCCATCCCGTTTTACTCAAAGACACTAGTAAGATACAGGAATGGGGCAATGATTAGATAGACAGTTGCTGCCCGACTGGTTAGCTTTCTTAGATGGGATATAGCTAGAACCTATCCGTTCAGCTTATGTCAAAAATGTAATATAATGAGTGTCATGAGAAATAATCTGATAGGAAGGCTAAGGGGGTTTGGCCAATATGAGATTGATTTATCCCTTACTCCCAAAGTCCCTCGGCTGTCCAGCCAGAGGGTCCAGCATCCAGTTCAGATGTTTCGGGTTCCTGGGTCTGGGATTGCACTTGTCATGTAGGTTCATAGTTGGAATCGAGCTTCCCAGGGAGATAACAAGTCTGTTTAGAGTGAGGCCTTATGTGGCATTGAATGTTTGGCTCTTCCTCCCTGAGGCTTCCAAGAAGCCGCAGGAGTGTGAGCAGAATTGTTTAATTTGGTCCCTCTGTGGTGGTCCTTAGAGTGAGAGGTTTCCTTGAAAGCATGGGAATGAGTGAGGAGAAAGAGCTGGCAAGCTTGGCAGTGCAGAGGTAATGCCCTAGGGACCTGACTTAAGGATCTTGCCCCAGAAGGAAGATTAGTTCAGAAGTAAATAGAAGGGAATAAAATGAAAAGCCGAGGCCACTTTTTTCAACCCTCTGTCCTCAAGGTCTAAGCTGGTCTTCCAACATCTCCTACAGTGTCAAGAATCTGGGCAAGTGGTGTCTCTGGGTTGTCTTTCTTTCATTAGAGCAGAAAGATAGAGCTACACAAGAGAAGCAAGTTATGATCCAAGTTGGAGCTAAATTCTTTGCCTTTGTCTCTCTCCCTTCCCTCCCTGCCTCTCCTTCTCCCCTCACCCTTTGGCCCTTTCCCAGGAGCTCTCCTCCAGCACCGAGAGTATTGATAATTCATTCAGTTCCGTAAGTGGGGCCAGGCTGGGACTGGGTGGCAGGATCCCCCATGGCCGCATTTCCTCTCCGTCCCCAGGTCTTCTGAGCCCCCAGACCAAGGCTAGCTTAAAAGGCCCCTCTCTTCCTGGGAGATTAGCTCCTCCCTGCCAGGGCCTCCTGATCTGGGTGAGCCCCTCTCCCCCACCTTTGCTGCAGCTGCCTTGAGTGCAGCTGATGAGGGCTCAGTTGATCCTTTGCTCAGAGACAGCTGGGAGGCAGTGCTGCTCAGCCCCAGCTCTTGGGGCTCTGAAGCAAACAGCTGGGAGAGAGGTAGAATTACTCCTGGATTGCTGCCAAGAACTGCTTGGCAGAAACCCCCCGGGATCCTGTTTCTCCCACCCAGAACCTTTTCCCCATGGCTTCTTCCATCAGACCATCAAATATTTAAAGAGTCTTCTAAATGTTAGGCCCTTTGCTGGGTGACTCCAAAAGCAAACAGGACTTGTCATGAAGGAAAGTTTAACTCCCCACAACTGGTTTCTTTTTTAACTTCAACTACATTTCTTCCAGGTCTGAGTTCTTCCCTTTTCCCAGCTCACTGCCCAGAATGTGCCTTAATCCCCATTCTCCTTTCTTGTTCCCTCTGGACTAACCCTGACCCTCTAGTCTCACAGGGTCTTGGACCTTGTTGCTGGGCAAAGACTGAGAGGAAATGCTGGACCCTCTGGGAGTTTGAATGATTTTTCCCCCCACATTTTAATTTTGATTTATCTGCCTAATCAGTTTCTCTGTTCTGTGCTGATTCCCTTTCAATCATGATTCCTGTCTCCTCCCATATAGCAGAGCCTCTCAAGGCCAGGAATATTTCCAACATGCTCATGAAACTTAGGGTCCCCAGCCCAAGTACTGGTTTGAGGATGGGAAGGAATTTGTCTTCTCTCACCTGAGTTGACTATGAGGTGGTTGGGGTGGAAGGTCTTGGAACAGTGACCGTTTGCCACTTGAGTAGAGTAAAAGTGAGTCTTCAAATATCCTCTTTTCTTTCTCTTTCTCTATTAGACTGCCCCAAGGTATTTCCTGGGACTATAGAAGCCCAATTCTGTTGTCTTTATCTTTTTCAGCCCTGCCCAGTAAAGCATTCCTGACTGTTTGAGACACCCTATTTCATTACTTGTGTGCCCTGAGCCAGCCCCCAGGGTAGAGGCTGAGAGTTTCTTTGAACTGTCTCTGTTGTGCATGCAGAGGCAGACCTGGTATTGCCCAGTTTTCAAAAGTTTTTTTTTTTTTTCTTTTCGGTGGGAGGGAGTAAGGGTAGAAATTCTCAATCAGGAAAATAAGCAGGACATACACAGAAAGGGAGAGAGAAGCTGGGTGAGTGAAATGCTATTTCTGGAAGAGGAGGCGATATTGTCACTTCTCTGAGGAAAGGGGATGGTGAGTTGGAGAGCTATCTAGATAAAACGATCATATAGTGGAAGGACTTAGACTGGGGAAAAACACTTCTCCACATCCAGCTAGATCATCTGCTCCCCCAACCACACCTTACTCCCAGACTGACTGCCCTTTCTGGGAATGACTAAGTACTCAGTTCATCAAGCCCAGCTGGTAGCAGGGAAGTCAGATAGCAGCCTACTGGCTGTGAGGTAGGGACTGAGATCCTGAAGAGGAATCAATGAAAGACTCAGGCCTTCAGGGCCATCATTGTAGGCTAAAAGGAGATACTGCGTTCTCTGTCCACCTGCCCATACCAGCTGCCCTCCCTCCATCTGCTTTCTCTTCCCCTCTTTGATTGTTCCCTCATTAATGCAAGATCTGATCATCCTCTTTTCATCCCCTGCATGTGCACTAATCCCTCATAGGAGATGGGATGGACGGGGGACACCGTGGCAAGCAACTATAGTCATTTGAATGAAAAGTATCTTCCTTTTTTGAAGGGGGAAAGGTCAACTCAGAGCTCTCTTCCCCAGGCTTGTGATCCCTGCCAGAGCCCCACAGCAGAGATCCATCCCGGGGGTCCAGGTGGAGGGGAGGGACAACCCTGATCTCAAGATGGGGCAAGTACTTCAGGTGTAAGCAGCTCTTCTCTCTGGGGCCCCAGCTAATCTCTCCAAATGTTGTCCTTCTGCCCATTCCGAAGCCTTGTGACAGGTGTCGAGGATCTCAAGTCTTAAGAGAGCAGGGGTATGTCCCAGTGACCTGGATTGATGCCCACCTCCTCAGAATATAGCCTGTGGAAAAGGAATGTGCTGGCTATTATTATCAATTCAAGCTGAGAGGGATGGGATGGAATCTCCTAGGGCCCAAAAGTAACTCCTTTCCTGGAGTTCTCCAGACGTGGCAGGGGGCCTGCATGGCCAGGAGTGATATAGGGGGTAGAACACATTTTTCTATGACTTTTCACCATCTTTTGTTTCATCCTAACTTCTGCAGCCTGTCCGACTGGCTCCTGAGCGAGAATTCATCAAGTCCCTGATGGCGATCGGCAAGCGATTGGCCACCCTCCCCACCAAAGAGCAGAAAACACAGAGGCTAATCTCAGAGCTCTCCCTGCTCAACCATAAGCTCCCTGCCCGAGTTTGGCTGCCCACTGCTGGCTTTGACCACCACGTGGTTCGGGTGCCCCACACACAGGCTGTCGTCCTCAACTCCAAGGACAAGGTAGGTAGGCCCTGGCCAAATTGTACTCCCAACCTAACTCTATTCCTGTGATTGTCCTGGGTTTGGATATGTGCTCAGAGATGCGAAACCAGCACCCTTGGCGCCGTCACAGTTCCCGGTGCTGTTGTGATGCAGAAAGCGCCCACGTCTTTCTCCTTGGGCTTTGATTCTCTGGACCAAATAGACCTAATCTTTTTGCCTTGTCTCTTATGGTGCCTTAGAAGACTTGCTCTCCACTTCTTTCTTACCGTTAGTTTGATAGCTCTTCTCCAGCCTTTCTGTAGCTCTTGGGCCTTCCAGGTACAGCATCATGAGGTTAGAGAGATAGTTTGTTCCCAAGACCTTTTCTGATAAGAATGGGCAGAGAGGACAGGTGGCTACCCAGTTCACATGGAGAGAACAGCTGAATTTGCTGGTTGGAATGAGTACTCATGGTTCAGATTGTGCTTTCAGAGGAAGTATCGAAGATTAGAATCTGCCACATTGCCCAGCTTTGTCCAAATCTCTTTGTGTGCAGTGACTTCTTAGACCCTGTCTTTCATCAAGCCCTCAGTGGTTTTTAGGCCTCTCTTTATTTTAAAAAAAGAATTATTTTATTTTTATTATTATTTAATTTGCTACAGGGCACATGTGCTCACCAGAGAGAGAAAGAGGGAAAATGAGAAAGCAAGCTGCCAGGTCTGGAACTCGAACCATGGTTAGCCGTGTGGGAGTCCAGTGCCTTAACCACCATGTGATCTCCTGGCCCTTCTAGGCCTCTCTTTCAGGCTGTAATTGAGAGTCTGGAGGGATTTTGCCCAAGTGCATCATCTATACATTTTGTAGCTTAATTGAAACATTTTGAAAATTATGTCCCCTCACCCAAATTCTCTATATAGATGATCGTAGGACACATTCCTGCCATAAATATGGTGTTCCTAGTGCCAATGGATTGACCAATGAGTGTTGGAGCTGGAAGTGGACAATGGGAAGAAGAAATGTGTTAACAGAGTTGAGATTCGGGGATGGTGGTGGAGGGAAGTTAGAAATACTGTTCTTGCTTCCCCACCCCAGGCTCCCTACCTGATCTATGTGGAAGTCCTTGAATGTGAAAACTTTGACACCACCAGTGTCCCTGCGCGGATCCCTGAGAACCGAATTCGGAGCACACGGTCTGTAGAAAACCTGCCTGAGTGTGGAATCACCCATGAGCAACGGGCTGGCAGCTTCAGCACTGTACCCAACTATGACAATGATGATGAAGCCTGGTCGGTGGATGACATAGGCGAGCTGCAGGTGGAGGTAATACTGGGGTTCAGCACTGTTCAGGAGCTTTCAGTATATTTGGAACAAGACCACATACCCAAGGCAGAACTAGGCAAGGGTCCAATGAGTGATGTAGGTAGTGAGGAGTGTGAGAGAGAAAAGGTCTGAACACGCTGGAGGAATAAATTCAGGTAGAGCTCACCCTCCTGAGGAAGAGATTCAGGTTAAATGGAAGGAAGCTTCTAGGCCCAAGAGAGTGAGGAAAATTTAATGAAAATATTTATTACACACTTACTGTATACAGTTGTATTAGGACAACAAAGGATGTTAAGATATATATTCATTCATTCATTCGGGAGATCTCTATTGAGAGCCTTTTATGTGCCAATCTCAAGTGCTTTTTTTTTTTAGAGAGAGATTATTGCTGTCTGGCATGTGTGCTCACCAGAGAGACAGAAATTGAGAAGTCATCCCCTGAGGGGGGATGGCCACACCACAGTCCCTTCTCCTCCATTCTCTTGGGATTTTCAGCATGCATGCACATGTGCTTGGCTTGAGTTTAAGCTGCTGGATCTGGGACTCACACTGCAGTCAACTACATGGGAGTCCAGTGACATTTCCATTACACTATCTGCTGGTCCCAATCCCGAGTGCTTTGTGCTGGTAGACAAGACGTGGCCTCTGCCTGTGGGGAGTATATGACCAAATATTGGGTTGTTAGAGAAGTTGTAACGTATTGTTTTCTGGTTTTTTATGCCAAAATGCGTTACAACTTTTTCAATAACCCAATAGAAGAGCGGACAAGGCTAGTAAGGTAATTGTAGAGGGATGTCATCCAAGTTGTGGAGAGGATTGGGCATTGTCGGAGCACCTTTTGGGGGCAAGTAGCACTTACTCCAGATGGGGGGGAGTCACGAAAGATTTCCTAGAGGAAGTAATATCTCAGCTGAGGTCTGAAGCTTGAGTAGTAATTAGCTAGACAAAGAGTGTTCCAGACAGAGGGAATAGTGTGTGCGAAGACTGAAGACAAGAGGGAGCGTGGCCCATTATAGGAACTAAAAAAGATTTTGAGTGGCTGTGATGTGTAGGTGTGAGGTGAGAAGGGGTGAGGAATGAAGCCAGGGAAGTTGGCATGGGCCAGATTGTGGGAAGGATTCAGTAAACTGTGAAAAGAAATTTGAACTTTATTCTGGGACTATAGGGAGGCAGAGCAGTGTTAACACAACCAGATTTACTTTGTGAAAAAACAGCATCTTGGTCTTGGAGCTTGCAGTCCACTTGGGGAGATTAGACATTCATGAAAAGTAAAATGAAGATACATAACAAATCAGTGTGCACTCAATGGTAGATGGCATTGAGGAGAAATGCTCTGGTACAAAGGAAGGTGAGAAGGGACTCAGTATGAGCCCTGGGGTCAGTTTTCCATAGTTGAAGCAAGATGGAGAGAAGCAGGGATTACACAACTTGGATTGAAGAAACAGTCAGAGGAATCTAGTCTGAAGAGAGCTTTTTTCTGGACCTTGGGAAAGAACATTTCCCCAGCCTTGGAGGAACCTCATATCTCAGTATGAGGCTGCAAGTTCAGTTTTCTATGATAATCATGCAAACTATTCACTAAAGTGGTTTGCAAACTTTAGTGCATTAGGAGTATTCTGGAGAGCTTATTAAAAATTCAGACTTCCAGATCCCATTCTCAGCAGTTCTAATTCAGATCGATGGTGGGGCCTGGAAAACTGTGCCGAGCAGGCATCCCAGGTAATTTGGATGCAAGTGGTTCCACTTTGAGAAACACTGCTGTAGGATCTGTGTGAGTGCCTAGGTGCTGTGGAGTCCAAGCAGGTGGTCAGGATGATGTGGCCAGGGAAGGCTTTTTGGAGCAGTGTGAGAAAACTGAAGCACACAGAGGTGACAGAAGGAAGGCCTGTGCTCAGCACTTCTGACCACTGCCCTGCTCCCCCAGCTCCCCGAGGTGCACACCAACAGCTGTGACAACATCTCCCAGTTTTCCGTGGACAGCATCACCAGCCAAGAGAGCAAGGAGCCTGTGTTCATTGCAGCAGGGGACATCCGGTATGGCCAGATCACATTCCCCCTCATTTTTCATCACTCCAGGCCCTACCTCTCTCTCTGTCCCCTTCCTCTGTGTCTTAGTCATCTGTTGTCAACTATGTCTTTCCCTTCTCTCTCCCCTTATTTTACTCTTGTCCTGAGACCACCAAACTGAGGCATTGAAAGTGCAGGTTGAGAAATTACTTGGGCTACTACAGAAGGAAGTGAAAATTTTAGAAGACTCCTAAGGGATGAAAGTACCAGAGGAAGAATTTGAGCAGTGTTTCTCAAAATAGGGCCTCAAAGTGGTATGTGTCAGAATCAGGGTGGGGAGAGCTTTTTGGAAATGCAGGTTCTTGGGCCACATCCTATTCTGAATCAATCTTGGTAGAGGAATGGCAAGGGTCTTGACATCTGCATTTAAATCACAAGCCACCAAGTTAGCAAAAAGGTGTCACAGGCTATATTTCCTTCCATGAGTCTCTCTCAGCTTAGGTTCCTATCTCTGTGTGACCAGAATCTAGGAAACACCACAAGAAATTCTAGCATAGATGGGGCATAAGGTAACTTCTCTGAGCAATGATGTGTTTTATTCCTGTTAGACGGCGCCTTTCAGAGCAGCTGGCTCACACCCCCACAGCCTTCAAACGAGACCCAGAAGACCCTTCTGCAGTTGCCCTCAAAGAGCCCTGGCAGGAGAAAGTGCGGTGAGTTGGTTGCTCTCTGGACCCCTCTCAAAGCAAGAGGCAATCATAGGTGCTCACTGCACCATCTTCATCGTTTATGAGTCTCCAAAATGTCCATCGGACTCCAGGCAGTCTGAGCCCTTGCTTTGTCAGGGCACTTGATCTGGGTAGGAGCCATGTCTCTGTCCTTACCCTGGCATCACCCGTTGACACCCTGGACTTTTTACACAGGCGGATCAGAGAGGGCTCCCCCTATGGCCATCTTCCCAATTGGCGGCTCCTGTCAGTCATCGTCAAGTGTGGAGATGACCTTCGGCAGGAACTGCTGGCCTTCCAGGTGTTGAAGCAACTGCAGGTAAGAGAAGGGGAGGAGAAAGAAGAGGAAGTCAGCCTAACTCCACCTAAGGTGGCCACACAGGTTTCTTTAGGGAGCTGTGCTTAGGACTATCTTCCTCTCCAGGTCTGAATTGGAAGCAGATTAAACTAAAGCTGGTACTCCTTTCCCCTGGGAAGCACATCCACAGGAACAGCTGTACAGCGGCCTCTTTTGGCCCTTTTGTGAACTGCACCTATTCTTTTTTTTTTTTTGGAGAGGTTTTTGCTATAGGGCGCGTGGGCTCCCCAGACAGACAGAGAGAGAGAGACATAGAGACAGAAAGCGAGAAATCACCCCCCAGGGGGGGATGGTCATGCCGCAATCCCTTCTCCTCCATTCTCCTCTCGGGATCTTGGGTACACACACACGCACCCGGCATGAGTTTTAAGCCACCGGGTCCGGGACGCAAACCACGGTCGACTACGTGGGAGTCCAGCGACATAGCCATTACGCTAACTGCTGGTTCCCTTTTTATTGTTTTAACTGCACCTATTCTAATCCCTGACCCTCAGGGCTTTGGATTTGTCCTTTACATCAGAACTTCGCAAATGGTCTACAGCCGGTGATGGCAGTGTACTGAGATACTGATCCTCTGGCTTGGTCATTTGCAACTAGTTTAATCCAGTTCTTTATTTAAATATTTTCATTTTCTAGAAAAACTTTCTCTGGACCTAGATCCTATCTTTATTGTTTTTTGAATTTACATGAATAGTTCCCATTCTCGTTTGTGAGGTGACAGTGAGGTTTCCTGTTTTTCTTGCCTTTCATAGACTTTCTGCCTATGGGCTACCTTTTCCCACATGCCTCTGAGTATAGCTTACTTTCTTTGTCAGGCCCTGGCCTGCCTTTGGGAACTCCTTGGTCCTCAGCAGGATGAGTGGGTTTTATACGATACCCTTGACTTCCTAGACTCCAAGGCCACCAAGGAGAGAGGCTGGGGACAGAAGGGAAGTTTCGCCTCCTCCATTTTGGAGAAAGATGAGAATCCCTGTTTCTCCATGTCTCCTTACAGTCCATTTGGGAACAGGAGCGAGTGCCCCTATGGATCAAGCCGTACAAGATTCTTGTGATTTCGGCCGACAGTGGCATGATCGAACCAGTGGTCAACGCTGTGTCCATCCATCAGGTGAAGAAGCAGTCACAGCTCTCCTTGCTTGATTACTTCCTACAGGAACATGGCAGTTACACCACTGAGGCATTCCTCAGTGCCCAGCGTAATTTTGTTCAAAGTTGCGCTGGCTACTGCTTGGTCTGCTACCTGCTGCAAGTCAAGGACAGGTAGGTGACTTCTGCCACTCATCCTGACTATTCTCCAGGGTTTCCCAGTCCCTTCATGTGCAGTTCTCAGTTACCCATTACCACCCTCCCCTGCCAAGATATAAAGATGGGACAACCTATTTTCAATAGACAGATGTGCTCACTTGACATTAAGCTAGGGAGGTAGGCTGAGACTGCAAGTGCTGGCTGCAGAGGCAAGAGAAACAGGATGTATGCGGGTAGGGGTCAAGTGAGCAGGGTCTTCAAGAAGAAAGAATGAGGACAGAGAAAGCTGAGAAGTACTTTCCATGTAGAGAAAACAACTCAGTGTGACCAAACCTCGGGCTGCACTGCATGGCAGGGGAGTGGTGGGCTATGACATCACACAATAAATCGAGGCCACATCAGAAGGGCCTTCATTGTGAGGCTGGCAGAGAAGTTTTATTTTGCAGCCAGAGAAGTGGCATGATCCAGTCATTAGTAAATGTCCTATGGCACTGTGGGTGAGGGTGAATGTGACTGGACCCTTAGCAACACAGCAAGAGGTAATAGCCTGGCATGATAGTGACTGAGAGAAAATGGGTATGAGAGACATGGTGAATATAAAGTTGAAACTCTCAGCCAGGATCTCTCTTTACTTATTCCCTCATATGATTTTCACAGCTGATAGGTATCTGTTGTTTTGCCCAGAGCTGTCTCTTTCTCTTTTTTTATTAAAACCTTAAAAAAAAAAAAAATAGGGCACATGTGCTGGCTGGAAAGAGAGAGAGAGGGAAAGTGAGAAAGTATCCTCAAAAGGGGAGGGCTATACCACATCTCTTCTCCATTCTTCTCTTGGGATTTTGGGCACCACATGTACATGTGCCTACCATGTTTTTCAAGCCACCATGTCTGGGATTTGAACCGCATTCAGCCTTGTAGAATCCAGCTGCCTTAACCACCACACCTGTGGCTGTCCCCAGAACTGTCATTTCTTTCACTATCACTTGATCTCTGTGAGGCCTAAGTACACCTGTAAGTGAAGTACATGTTGTACAAAGATAATTCCACCATCTAGGCCCTGCCTTCTGAGAGTGTCTAGTCAGTATTCAGGGTCTGTGCCCTGAATGCTCCTGTGAGGTATGGCTCTCCTTGGCAAGGGACAGCTGTCCTGAGGAGGCAGAAGTGCAGCTGCCTATGCTGCTAGGGCTCCCAGTGACATGGTGGGCCATTAAGACCTAACAGAGAAGCTTTTTTTTTTTTTTTGCTTTTTTTTTTGGAGAGGTTTTTGCTGTAGGGGTGCGTGTGCTCGCCAGAAAGAGAGAGACAGAGAGACAGAAAGTGAGAAATCACCCCGCAGGGAGGATGGCCACACCGCAGTCCCTTCTCCTCCATTCTCCTCTTGGGATCTTGGGCACGCACGCACATGCGCCAGCATGAGTTTAAGCCACTGGGTCCAGGACTCAACCCGTGGTCAACTACATGGGAGTCCAGCAACATAGCCATTACACCAACTGCTGGCCCCTCTTTTTCTTTTTCTCTCTTTTCATTTTTCTTTTCTTTTCCTTCTTTTTAATGCCAGAGGGTACATATGTACATGTGTGAGAGAGAAAGCACCCACCCAGCTGCTGGCCTGGTCACACTGCAATCCTTTCTCTCCCACTTTTTACCGTTAGGTTCCTGAACACATGCACATAGGTCCGGCTTGTTCATCAAGCTGCCAGGGCCTAGACTCAAACCCTGGCTGGCCTTTTAGGAACTGGCTTCCTCTGTGTGGCACTTACCAGAGGGCTAGCCCTCATGGAGCAGCTTATCAGAAATCTAGTATTTATTACCTGCCTGCTGATGACCTGACATTCTGCTCTATAAGGCAGATGAAAACCTTGTCAGACAAGTGTTTCATTGTTAAGAAAATAATGGTCAAGGAGCATAACCTGTGCTCCCTGCTATCCTACGAATGAACCCAGATGGGTTCTGTGGAGCTGTGAGGGCTATAGGAGAATATATTGGGTCATCGGTAAAGTCGAGACGAGTTTTTCTGACGACCTAGTAGTGATCTATAAGGAATTTGGTTACAAGTTTTAGACTGTCCCTGAAACATCAAGATTTTGAACCCAGGGTCTAGGAGCCTAGGGCTCAACTCCAGGACTGATTAATGGATAGCAGGGAAACTAAGGGCTTTCCTTTAAAAAAAAAAAAAGAGGTGGAGAGGCAGTCAGGCAGGCAGCTGATACATTGTGTTAACTGAAAAAAGAATGGATAGGCTATGAATGGAACCAGCCACTGGAAAGAAGTAGCCTCAGTGAGTGGGGCCCCAAACAGGAATTGTGTGTTATGTTATTTATTTATTTTTAATTTGACCAGAGAGGGACAGTGTGTGTGTGTGTGTGGGGGGGTGAAATTGGGGGAAGGTGGAAGGAAAATCAGAAAGTAAGCTGCCAGGTCCGGGACTGGAACCACAGTCAGCCATGTGGGAGTCGCGCACCTTTAACCGCCACGCCATCTGCCGGCCCCTGGAATTGGGTTTTAAGATTTCTTTTTCTTTTTTCTTTTTTAAGGTTTTTGTCATAGGGCACATGTGCTTGATAGAGAGATGGAAAGTAAGAACTCACCCTTGGGGTGGGAGAGGGGACAGCCACACCATAGTCCCTTCTCCAGTTTCCTCCTGGGATTTTAGGCATGCACACGCACATGCCTGGCATGATTTTCAAGCCACTGGATCCAGGACTCAAACCATGGTAGTCCAGCGATGTAACTACTATGCCATCTGCTGGCCCAAAGATCTCTTGAAGTGTTTCAAAATGAATCCCAAATAACTATCCAGCTGGAGCTAAGTAGTTAAGAGAGAAACTCACTCCCCCTAGCCTCAAGACCTTGGGCAAGTCAGTCACTTTCTCACGCAGGGCCTGTTTCCTTTTCTGTAAAGTAAGAAGTTGGATTAGGACTTTTATAACTTCTCTGGCTTCAGGATTATGCTTGTGTTGGTGACTGTTAATGCTGTCCCAGAGGGCAAAGGACGCAGGTGGGCCTCAGCTCTCCCTCCATCCCACCTCCTTGGCCATTCCGGCCAACCCTAGAGAATATGTCCCTCAGATGTGAGCTCTTGGCCTGACAAAGCCTCTATTGACATGAGGAAGTTGTGCTGAGAAGGCCAGGCCTCACGTGCTTAGCATTGTTAACTGCTCCTCCTGCTCCTGGCCATCCGTGTGGGGGGTCACAAAGACCTCGGAAGTATCTCCCTTGAACTCTTCTGCCCCACAGCTGGCCTGTAGTACTTGCCTTGAGATCTTTTACATAACCGCTTTAAAACTCAGCCCTTGAAGCCCTCACACTATTTTACATTCAAACTCCACACAGCCTGCTTACCCTATTATTGCTCCCTTCTGGTGGGGCATCCAATCTGCATAGACTGATACAGAAGTTACATACAAAGTACAGGTAAATAGGTTCTCCATGGAAGCCTCCTGTGAACAAAGGGCTTGGCCTCTCTCACTGGGGCTTCTTTCCTCACTTCTGGATCCTCTGCTAGATTGGGATCAGTTTGGGTGCTAGATGTGTAATTTCTGGGAAACTGGTATCTTAAACAGATTTTACTGAATTCTTAAAAGCAATTTTGGACCCTACAGCCTTTTTGAGTTTTTTTCTTACTTCTTTTTTTCCCACTGCTAGCTTTAGGTCCTAGGAGAGTGAACCCAGAGTTATAGGTGGCCAGAAACAGGGCAGGGGACTCCTCTGCCTGGTGTCATGTGGCCAGCTTGAGGTCCCTGCCTCCATCAGACTTACTGCTGCCTCTCCCTCTCCTCTGCCACCCTTCGCAGACACAATGGGAACATCCTTTTGGACGCTGAAGGCCACATCATCCACATTGACTTTGGCTTCATCCTGTCCAGCTCACCCCGAAACTTGGGCTTTGAGACATCAGCCTTCAAGCTGACCACAGAATTTGTAGACGTGAGTCAGGAAGGAGGGGTGTCTCCTGGGTTGCTGTGTTCTTTTTAGGTCATTAGCCCATTAGCTCCCCCAAATCAGGGACAAACCAAACAGAAATGACAATAAGTCAAGGAGAGGCTTCCTGCCCAGTAAGGAAGTAGGAAAGTAACAAGAGTTTGGCATGATTGCCCCAAGAAGGAATTATGGGAGCCCGTTGGGACAGGGACCGTTGCCACTGGAATCCCCTTGTGTACACAGCCCTTCCTTCCCAGGTGATGGGTGGCCTGAATGGTGACATGTTCAACTACTACAAGATGCTCATGCTCCAAGGGCTGATTGCTGCTCGGAAGCACATGGACAAGGTGGTGCAGATCGTGGAGATCATGCAGCAAGGTGGGGCTGGGCAGAGAGTGGGTGCCCTAGGACCTCAGAATTCCCACATTGGTGCACAAAACTTCCAAAAAGTTGATTTTACCCCAAGACTCAGAATGAGAGTGATCCCAGGGGATTTCCAGCTCTGATCCAATGCTATTTCTCCTTGAGGGCATACCTCCTGACCAGGGCAGAGCTAGCCCCAGGGGTGAGGGGAAGAGGGGAGCAGAAACCATCCCCAGGAATCCTCGAGAACAGTGCACTCACCAACCCCCTGGTCCCTTCCTATCACCCACCCCTTGTCCACTGAGTCTGTCTCCTTCAGTGTCGTCTCTGCCAACTCGAGTGTTTCCAGTCACTTTCCTCTCCTTCCCACTTCACTCTAATGACCATGTCCTCAGCCACCCTTCCCCTTCCCACTACTCACTCCTCTGGCAGTTTTCTGTCCCTCATACTTGCCATCTCCCACCATGCCGTCTCCTCACTGCCTTGCTGTCTGTAGTCTTTTGCCAGGACTCCCTTTCTCTCCCAGCTCCTCTGGGCCCTGTCCTCATCCCTTCTTCATGACTCCAGGGATACACCAGGTCTGAGCTGCCAGTCTCCTCCTCCCATCCCACCCCTGCCCCACAGGTTGTCGCCGTTGCTCAGGAGCATCCCCGTCTGGCCCCGTGATGACGGTGGCCCAGGTCATCTGTGAGTGTCAGACGTAGCATAGACAGAGGCCGCAAGCAGATAAGTGCCAGCTCAGGGCCCATTCCCTGGAGCCTCTTCCCAGCCTCCCCTCTGGGTCCTGGGACACTGCTCCCTCTGCCTTTCCTGGGGGAGATGTGGTGGTGCCCCCTTCCCTCCTCCAGTCACATACACTCACCTAGAAGGGGGTTAAGAGTGTGGGATGAAGATGGGCCCAAAGCAGTGTCTCTGCCAGTCCTTCCGTGCCCCAGCAGAACTGCAGCCACACTGCCAGGGAGCTATCTGGTAGGGAGGGAGGGGCACTTCAGATAACCCCGGTATTTAGTATGGCCACTTCTACTGCCCCTGTCCCCCAAGTCCACCCATGACCCTCAGCCCCATTGCTTCCCCCAGGTTCCCAGCTTCCTTGCTTCCATGGCTCCAGCACCATTCGCAACCTCAAAGAGAGGTTCCACATGAGTATGACCGAGGAGCAGCTCCAGCTGCTGGTGGAGCAGATGGTGGATGGCAGCATGCGGTCTATCACCACCAAGCTCTACGACGGCTTCCAGTACCTCACCAACGGCATCATGTGACACCCTCCGTCTCAGGCCCAGGAGTAGGGGATCCTCGTCTGAGAAAACCCAAACCAGAAAGCCCCACCTACCCAACCAGCCACCCAAGGGAAATGGAAGGCAAGAATACAAAGGATCATGTGGTAACGGTGCGAGCTTGCGGGGGGGTCGAGAACCTGCGTGAGGTCCAGACTTGTTGGGGCTTCCCTGCCCCCCCACACACACTGCGTCAGTATTACCACCTGACAGACTCCAGGACTCACTGCCCTCCAGAGAACAGGTGATGAATGTGAGGGCCACTGGGACCTTCCTCCTGGCTGGGGTCTGAGAGGGTCTTTCCACAGGCTATCCTCTTAATCTGCTCTGGGTCCCAGGAAGGGGGCAGAGTAGGTTTCCTTACCTAGAACTTCATGGTTGGCCTCTGGCCTTGCTGCTGCCCAACTCTGTCCTCTCCCAGAGACTGACCCCTGGCCTAAGCTCCCTGTAATAGCACTTGGTGAGGTTCCCCATTACAGGCGGAAAGGAATTACCATATCCTCCAGAGAACTGAGGGTGTTGGCCCAGCCATGGAGTCCTTACCCTGATCCCACCCCACACCCAGGGAAGTAGCTCTGTTTTTGTTTTTTTGATTTTTTTTTTAATTTGTTTGAAATAAAGTCCTTAGTTAGTCATGTGTGTCATTTCTGAGTTTTTCTTGTTTGGGGGATGATGAGCAAACATATGCCTGTGTCCAAGCTAAAAAAGGCACTGCAAAAAGCAGAGGTTCCTCTCCTCTTCCCCTACCTGTCCTCATCACCTCTACCTCTCTGCCCTGAGAAGGGCCTCCTCAGTTCTGACTCCCACCCTCTCCTCAAATCCAAACTGTCCAAGTCACATAAAGACAGGAGCCTGAATGGGGATTAAACCAGGAGCAGTTTTAATGGTCTGGTTCTTCCCCCCCCCATCCCACTTGCCACCACCATTAGTATTATTACTACAAGAATAGAGGATTCCTGAGAGCCTGTCCTCTCCTCTCCCTGGGCCCCCCCCTTGACAGGACTCATTCCCACCACCCCCCTCCCCAGATTTCTGGACAAGAAAAAAGACAAGTGAAAGGCACTGCAGGGGTGGGGGCTTGAGTGCCAGGGAGTCTGGAGGGGTGCTAGGACAGGGCCCAGCCCAGAGGAGAAGATTCCAGACTGTGCCTGAAGAAACCAGGAGGATGTTGTGACTCCCCTCCTCTCTGCCTGTCTAGCAGGCCTAGGAGAGTCCCATCCTCCTGTTCTCGGTCCCACATTGGGGGTCTGCAGCAGGAGCATAATTAGTGTTGGGCTCAGAAAGGAGGAATTGGAGGCCACTCTTAACTAGTACCCAAGGGCCAAACCCAAAGAGAGGATTGCAAGTAACTATGATCCTCACAAGCCTTTTTTCTTCAGAGATGGGAGAGAGGAACTGAACGAAATGCGAATGTTAAAACTCCCCAGCCCAGGGACCAGCAGCAGCAGTGAAACCCAGGCTTCTGGGGCACAGGGAACGCATCAGTCCCAGGCCCGTTCCCAGGTCAGGGCCTAGTTGTCCCCACTGCCCCCCTGCCGGGCCCTGATGAAGGCCATGCCATGCGTGCGAAAATGGGTCTTGAGGTTGAGGGGGCTGTCGCAGCTCTTGCCACAGACCTTGCAGGTCAGTGGGCCTCCAGAAGCAGACAAGGGCGAGTCTCCACCCTCTGGGTCAGACCTGGATGGAGGGGGGGCCTCTTCCTCCCCTTCCTCTAGCCCTAGGGCACCGGCTCTACCCGCACCCCGTCTCTTCTTGTGGCTGATGAAACGGTGCCGGCTCAGGGAGCCAGGGGAGGCAAAGCATAAGCCACAGTCGAGGCACTGCTGAGCACCGCCATCCACCCTCAGCCCCACCACGAGGCTTTGTTCCGCTGAGCCGCCGCTCCTGTAGCGCAGGGGGCCATGGCCTCCTGACCCAGGTCCACCCCGGGGGGACTTGGCTGGCGGCGTTGTGCTATCAGGCTCCTCACTGCACGAGTCGGAAGACTGACGGCGTTTCCGTCCTGGCCCCTGGACAAGAGCAGAAGAGACTGGGCCTCACCATCACCCCCACTGTCCCTAGCACCCCACCCTTACTTCCTGACCAGAGTCTGTACCCTCCCAGTCACGCCCACAACCCCAACACAGCCAGAGTGGCCTCTGCCTACCTGGACCCTGGCACCAGGCCCCCGAGACAGTGTGCTCCCCCGGCCAGGGGACTGGGCCCCGAGCTGCAGGCCATGCCGGACCTGGACGTGCTTCTCCAGGATCAAGCGGCTGCTGAAGGTGCGTTTCCCCTCTGTGCAATACCTGGGGTGGGACAGCGAACATGATGGCACCTGTGCACAGCCCAAATGCCAAGGCCTTGGCTCCTGAGGGGCTATGGAGGCAGGAGGCCTCAAGCGTCCATCTTACAAAAGTTGCAGGGGTGAGGAGGCAAGGGTTACCTGCAGGGATACACTCGCTTGATTCCCTCGTGATTGACCCTGACGTGGCGCCTCAGGCTGGGGGCGGAGCAGAAGGAGCGCTCGCACAGGCGACAGGGAAACTTCTTCACGGACTAGGAGAGCAGGAGGTGGGAAAGCTCAGCCAGGCTCCAGGACCTCACCCCTCATCCCTCTCACCACGCAGGCCAACCCCAGGCTGCCCCTCCCTGCCACCTCTCCTCAGGGCCCACTCACCTTGCCATGCTCTTTCTTCATGTGGGCCACATACTCGTCCCGCTCAGGGAACCAGGAGTGACAGAGGCCACAGGCCCAGCCCCCAGGCCCCCCGCCCCCACCCTT